ACTGATTGATTGGTTAATAAAAGTTTCTGCAGAGAGAATTTCACTTCCACAATGGAAGAACTCTATCTAATCTGAGATGATGTTAAAAAAGCACAAAAAAAACAAACCCACACAAAAAAAACACAAAGAACACAACTCCCCCCAAAACACAGCACTTAATTTTTCTCCTTACCTTTAAAATAATAGTAAAAGAGGTATTCTGCTATCAATGTATTTTATATAATGGCATAGAACTTTAATACAGCTATTTACCACAAGATCGCACAATTATTCATACTTTTTCCAAAGAATAAATTGGAAAAATACCAATGGCTGGAAAAACCCTAACCATTCTATAATTCCATGAAATAGCAGCTCTGTGATATAATATGAACAAAACACCACCCCAAGAGTCTTCAATGAGGCGACATTATCCTATGAGTAACGTTATCCCATCCCATCTCCAAAACAAAAGAAAAAAAGATTCTGGTTAGTCAGCAGCCTACGTGACATAAGCTGCTGTTACTGGTGGGCAGCAGTTCATACCAGTCAGCATGAACTGATGGTGCCAGAGAAAGCCCCAGGACAGAACAAATGACACAAAATGAAATACTCAATTTAACTTTGTTAGCAGTCCTTTCCATTAGGACACTAGCTACACAAGTAGCAAAACAGGAAATACACTTGTGCTGCTTCTCTGTGTTCTGCCTGTTTTGTACCCAAAAGCACTCATTTCTCCAGGTTATCACAATACAGCTCTGTTCACAAGCTCTCAGTTAATGCCGGTCACTAATACACTAACTATCTTTACCAGGTCCATGGAGAAATCATAACCAGGATTGCAAAGCAGCAAGTCTTCCAGAGTCTACAGGGGTGAAAAACCCAACCCAACTGCATCCCTCCAAATAATCTACTAAACAGCAGTGCTTACTTTCTTCTTCATTTCATTCATCACTTCATTATGTGACTGGTGTTCATACAGGAATAGGTATTATTTAAACCGCAAGATGGATGAATAATTTCAAGGGCACTGCCATCATCTTTTCATTCTCAGGAGGAAGCAACGTTTACTGTTTTATTGCACCATAAGAAAAGTTACCAAACATATAGACATGGCATATATACAGTATGAGGGTAAGAGGGGGAACACACAACACATGATGATGGTATCAGCCAAATACCCACACACCACAAACATTTTATCACTTATTTAAAAAAAGCAGAACAGAAACCAGGTTTTAGAATAATAGAATCACAGAATAGTTAGAGTTGGAAAGGACCTCAAGATCATCTAGTTTCAACCCCCTGCCACGGGCAGGGATACCTCACACTAAATCATGTCACCCAAGGCTTTGTCCAACCTGGCCTTGAACACTGCCTGGGATAGAGCATTCACAGCTTCCCTGGGCAACCCATTCCAGTGCCTCACCACCCTCACAATAAAGAACCTCTTCCTTATGTCCAATCTCACCTTCACCTGTTTTAAGTTTTAACCTGTTATACCTCCTCCTATCACTACAGTCCCTAATGAAGAGGTCCTCCTCAGCATCCCTATAGGCACCCTTCAGATACTGGAAGGCTGCTATGAGGTCTCCATGCAGCCTTCTCTTCTCCAGGCTGAACAGCCCCAACTTTCTCAGTCTATCTTAATACAGGAGGTGCTCCAGTCCCCTGATCATCCTCGTGGCCCTCCTCTGCACTTGTGCCAACAGTTCCATGTCCTTTTTATGTTGAGGACACCAGAACTGCACACAATACTGCAGGTGAGGTCTCACAAGAGCAGAGTAGAGGGGCAGGATCACCTCCTTCGACCTGCTGGTCACGTTCCTTTTGATGCAGCCCAGGATACGGTTGGCTTTCTGGGCTGTAAGCACACACTGCCTGCTCATGTTCCTTTTCTCATAGACAAACGCCCCCAGGTCCTTCTCCGCAGAGCTGTTCTGAATCTCTTCTCAGCCCAACCTGTAGCTGTGCCTGGGATTGCTCCAACCAAGGTGTAGGACCTTGCACTTGGCATGGTTAAACCTCATGGGGTTCGCATCAGCCCACCTCACAAGCGTGTCAAGGTCCCTCTGGATGGCATTCCTTCCCTCCAGCGTATCAACCGAACCACACAGCTTGGTGTCATTGGCAAACTTGCTGAATGCACACTCAATCTCACTGTCCATGTCACCAACAAAGACATAGAACAAGACCGGTACCAGCACCGATCCCTGGCGGACACCACTCATTACTGGTCTCCAGCTGGACATTGAGCCATTGACCGCAACTCTTTGTGTGCAGCCAGCCAGTTCTTTATCCACCAAGTGGTCCACTCATCAAATTGATGTCTCTTCAATTTAGAGACAAGGATATCGTGTGGGACAGTGTTGAACGCTTTGCACAAGTCCAGGCAGATGTTGTCAACCGCTCTACCCTTCTTCATCAGTTCTGTAGCCCCATCACAGAAGGCCACCAAATTGGTGAGGCAGGATTTCCCCTTAGTGAAGCCATGCTGGCTGTCACAAAGCACCTTGTTGATTTTCATGTGCCTTAGGATGCCTTTCAGGAGAATCTGCTCCAAGATTTTGCCAGGCACAGAGGTGAAACTGCTGCTCTGTAATTCCCCGGGTCATCCATTTTCTCCTTCTTGACAATGGGGGTTATATTTCCCTTTTTCCAGTCGTTGGGAACTTCACCTGACTGCCATGATTTTTCAAATATGATGGACAGTGGCTTAGCAACTTCATTCGCCTGCCCCTTCGGGACCCGCGGATGGATATCTTCACTGCCCATGGACTTGTGCATATTCAGGTTCTTAAGATGGTCTTGAACCAGATCCTCTCCTACAGTGGGACCAAGGTCTTCATTCTCACAGTCCCTACGTGTACCTTCCAAGACTTGGGTGGTGTGGTCACAGCCTTTGCGAGTGAAGACTGAGGCAAAGAAGTCATTCAGAACCTCAGTCTTCTCCAAATCCTGCGTAGCCAGTACTACCGATAGGTTCTGGAGGGGGCCTACATTGTTCCTAGTCTGGTTTTTATTCTCTATTTTGCTTCAAATGCCCCAGGCACTGTGGGAAGATGAGCTCAGCAGTGTAACTATATAAGTAAAAATAAACCATCCCAGAGTAAAGACATAATACCCAGCAGGATAAGGTTTTCAACTTGTGTTCTTCAAGCTCACACGGGTGACGTATAATGCAATGTATAGATGGATATATTTGAAGGCAATGAATATACAAAAGCCTTGAAAATAAATAACCCCTTATAAATCAATCCTAAACAAGCAAAACGTAAGTCTGTGCTGTTGCATAGAAAAAAAGGTGAGACAGGGCTGTCCCACTTCAGAATCTGAAACCTTGAGCAATTATCTGCAGTATTTTCCTTCATTTACATTTCTGTTGTGCTTTTAGTGTACTAATTAATCACAAAGTTCCATCTGGCCAACAGTTTTAGTTCACATCCTTATTGCTTCAGACAGTTAAAAGTAGCCTTTAGTGCCAAGAACAATAAAAGCAGCCCCTTGAAGCACTTTTAAATATAACCTCTTAGAACTGGCTTCAACCCACAAGTAATCTCACATTTTTAAGAAATCCCTCTCTGACAAGCAGCACCTTGACAGGATTTAACACTTGATACTATCTTTAGGTTGGTTTCGATTAAAAAATTAATTATAGACTAAACTAACATCATTATTAGAACTGGTTACCTCCAAGCATTTATGTCACAACTCTTTCAAACAATTCCTTCACTTTATTCGTGACAGAGAAGTCAATAATAATGGAAGGTTTTGCTGATCATTAATACCATCTCTTAGTCAGGAAAAACACTTTGATGCGTGCTCCTGATTTGACTATTCAACTGAACTTTTTCTTCTTTAAAAAGCTGAGCACAGATCTTTGCATCTATTTTTTCCTGGCGTTTGGCTGTCAGCTGGAATTTTACAAATGGGTTTATAAAACTGAAGCCATAAACAATTTAAAATGATACAGACAATATATACCTCAAGTGCACTTTGGAAGGTATAGCTTGCCTAAAATTAGACACTTGGGCAAGCATCAAGACTGTGACAGGCTACCTTCAGAAGCAAAAGATTAGGATTTCGTTTGTACTTTTTACAGCAGCATTTAGTTTCTTCTCTTGTCCTGGGGTCAAGAGAGAAAGTTCTTGTTAGAGTACTGGTTATGTGAAACCATATGCTGCTGAAATTTTATATCCTTGACTTTATGTAAGTCATAGATAGCCTGCAACAAGAGTTGTGGCTCTTAATTTAGGAAGTAACAAGCCTCAGCTCTTTGAAATTTCAATTTAAAATTGTAAACAGAAGAAAGAGAATACATGACAAAGCAATGCAAAAAGTAATAAAACACAGGAACAAATTAGTCTCACTTCTACACGCTTTCTCTATCCTTCCTGGTTCTTCATTCTATGGAGTAAAGTGAAAACCAAAGGCCAGAGAGACATTTTAAAGGCTTTCTTGCAGATATTGGACATAATTACTAGTAAATCTCAGATCAGCTGAAATATTATCAATTACCTTCTTCTGCATTCTCCCTCACAGACAGTACATATGAGATTCATACAGTAAGTTTATAGACATTTCTCCAATGTCTTCTTCATTGGAAGAAGGCTTCTGCCTAGTCTCTGCTGTTTCCAAATGCAGTTCCCATTGCTTGAAAAACAAACTATAAGAACCACTACCAAAACATGTTCCCTATAAACTGAACTGTATCTAAATATAAACCTAATTCTGAATTACAACTCAAGCATTTAGAAAACATTGTGTAACAGGTCCAAACCAAATGGAGTGATCACCCTAGAAGAAAGTCATACTGATTTCCAACTAAGAGAAATTAATCCCTAGGTGGCTGGACATCATACCAAAGGTAGCACAGGCTCGTAATATCAATTTTCTAATAATTTAGTCAAGATACAACACCAAGATGACAGTGATGCACTAGGAAAACCACTTATGCCTATAACAGCAGAATTTCACACTGAAAAATTAAGACTTTAATAAGGATTATAAGTAGTACTCACCATAAGACAAAATTAGTGGTGCTGAACTCCCTCAGACTAAGACTACCTTTGTCTTTAGGGAATGGGCTATAAGGCTTCCCAGCTACAATAATTCCAGTAACTACTTTGCTGCCAACTAACCAAGTGTCCTGAGACACAAGGAGGTTCAATGTACCCAAGTGTTAGTTTTCAAGATCGCCAACATCTGATTCAAATCACAGCTGCAGTCACCTGCTCACTGCAGCATCCCCAGTCAAGCCATGCCATGTGAAAACCAATACACAAGAGACACAGTATAAGGGCTTCTCATGGCTGAACAAAACATACAGGTTCTCTCCTCACAACACAGCCTCCAAGGAACAGTGAATTCACCTTCTACAGCAATATCAGTATCTATGTGTCACTTTTATATTTCCATTAGTGTTTACAGAAATTGCTTGTGCACACATATTTATTGTGTTAGCTCATTCTAGGCAAGTCTAGTGTTTTATCTTCGATTCATGAGTAATTGCACTTCTATGAAATAAAATGGCACTACCTGCCTGTCAATATACATTGATGCCATTTTGTACATTAACACACTTTAATACAAGACCTCTCAAGCCATAAGGCCCTCCATATCACCCAATCTATCACTGCAGGGACGCACACATGCGCAGCAGCTCATACAAGGCAGCTCTATCAGCTTGCTACTGTCTCCTGTGGTCAAGAGAAATACCCTTTTCCAATCTGCAAGATCAGGTACACTTTTTTGTATTTGCCAACTCCTACTTCTGGTAGGTAGACAAATTGAATCAGTAGTCCAGGCTGAAAATCATTGTCCTTATTATTTGAAAGTTGCAGAAAAAGGTACTTTATACCTGTAGAGGAAAAAAAAGTATTTCAAAGTACACTGGCAATCTTAGGGGCCTGAAAGTTTGAAAACATCCCTTACCATAGTTTGCTTCCAAACGTAACAATTCTCTTTACTATTCTTCCCTGTAGGACAATGTCTGATTATTTGGTAGACTACAGATTTATTCTTCTAAAAGCCACACCCTCTGCTTCAAAATCAAAATAAAAAAACAGAGGTTCTCTCTTCTTCCTTATTTCACATGCTGAAATAAGACACTGCAGGCAACCTGTGAGGCATCTAACACCCCAGTCTGAATACCCCATTCCCTGCTATACCAAAAGATCTCACAGTCCACAAAAGGACTAAGTATATTTGCTAAACATGCTTGCAAGAAAGCAGAGTTTAGAACTTAGACTGAAATTCAAGCAGATCTTCTTTCAAATAAATGGGACAGACTGTATGTTTACGGCTTAAATGATACGCTGTTTGGTTTTTGTCTTCTATGAAGTTCCAATTTCCTCTCAGGCATTGGTTAAATTCCTGCAGCAATAAGAAACTCGGACTCGGCAAACTGCCCCCTGGGTCTACCCTCTCTAAGACAGAAATCTACATAGTTAGTACTGAACTATCATCATACAAATCTTTATGCAGTGCTGCAGATATTTTCCTATTCCAGGCCACAGCATGATGTATAAACATATTGCAAAGGCTGCTGCCCAGGGTATATAAGGAACAAATATGTAGCCTTTCCTACTTCAAAGTAAGCTGCTGGGAAAGGCAATTATTCTCTGCTTGTCTGTGATTGATCAGCTTCCGGTATATGGATGCATGAGCTTTCATTTATTACCTACTTGGTTATTGGCATAGGGCTGCAAAGAAAAAGGTCTTTCTAATAGTTGTTTCTTTTTTTTTTTTTTTTCTGGGAAAGGAATTAAAATAGCACTGAGACAATTTAAATCATGAACAATGGCACTTTCCAGTCCTCCTCTCTATGTAAGACAACACCCACACAGCTAAAAGATGTTCCAGTTTGGGATGCCGAAAGTAGATTTCAACCCTGCTGTGTTGTCTACTCCTTTCTAAATAATATGCACAAAGGGCAGAAGTCTGTGCAATCAAGGCAGAGTAAGGCTTTAAGTAACATGATTTTAATATTCATGAGGTTTTAACTTCTTAGTGATTATTTATGAAATCTTCTATTACATCAGGAGAACGGACTTAAACTAAAACAATCCAAACCTTATCATTTTTATACCAGTAAAAACATTTTAGTGCTACATTCTGAGCCTATCCTCATAGCTGGGTTGAAATAATCTATCAGTCCTTACAAAGTATCAAATCATAATTAAATCAAGGTTCATGGAGGACAATTGTTAAAGGAATAAAACTGTTGCCAAAATAACAATCATATACTAAAGCTTCAACCTGAAGTGCATTCTTTGTTACAATCCATTGCATGGGCCCCCTATAAATCCAGAAGACAATGGGTTTTTCTTCATACCAGAATTTTCAGAAACTCTTACCTATTCCATTGGCTTGAAAACTGCTATACAAGCTTTACATCAGGTTGTCTCATATGTGATGAGGTCCATAACAGAAGAGAAGGAAAAGGGTCACTGCAATGTTCTTTCATTTTTCTCAACATGTCCAAGATGGCCTGTGGCTAGTTCTTCTTTACTGGAAAGGATTTTGTCTTGGTCACACTTGGAAGTACAAGGCATTGATATTCCCCAAGAATAGGAATATGACAAGCTAATTAAACTAAGCTATATTGTACAAGTAACTGTAGATCAGTGTCTGCTGAAGTTATCTTTCAACTAGCTCTTCTTATAAAGAATTTTGCATTAATTTAACTCATTTAAATTATAAATATATTAAAAAATTAGTGTTATGTAAAAACCATTATAAAACATTTTCTTAGTTGGATAAATTATCTTCTACATGACTTTGAACCACTCAGCATCTCAAATATATTTGAGCTTGGGAAGACAAGAGGATACAAAGGTTGCAAGATACTGTCAAACGCTTATATGCACCACCATCCTCTGCTGGAAAAAAATCAGTCTTACTCATATGTTCGTAACCGATTAGCTTCTATTAGCAGTAGCTGACATAAGCATCAGCTAATGTACATTCCCATTTAAACTCCACAGGCCTGTGGCTTAGAACAGAAGGTTGCTATTTCTATTGTCTGTTTAACGTAGCTGCGTAAACAGCATTTAAGATGTTTGCATATGCCCTGGACAGCTCTCTTTATTACCATGTATTTATACAGCACTAACACCCGAGGCCCTGCAGAGACTGGACCTTGCTGCTCTACATACACAGAGCTATAAGAGCCAAGATTTCAACTGCATGGTACCATATCATTTCACTTCAAAGATTTGCAAAAACACCTTCTTAAAATACCATCTGGTTTCTTATCACTGTGAACCCATCAGAAAATCATACACATCCCCTTTGAGGACCTGAGCCTAAAACGTTTCAAACTGCTAAAAGACACAAATGCAATTACTCTCTTGCTCCAGCATTTCTAGGTCAAGTGTTGATTTTCCTAGGATAGGCAGAGCACCTTCAGACCAAGTATCAACTCCTCAGATTGTAGCGCTGCTGTGTCTCACACCAACACGTTTTCAGGTGCCTGAGGCAACACCTCTCCAGGAGGAGGTAAGCAGGAGATCTGTGCATGAGGAGGACTAACGCCTGGAAAATCGCCATTACACTGAGCCGTGAAGGCAGAGGAGGCCTTTCCACAGCAAAGGTGAGGGACAAAAATCAACACACACGTTCCCCACAACCCGCACGGAGTCAGTCTTCACACAGCACCTAGTAAAGCAGGCGAAGTGTATAAAAATACCTAGCTCCCCAACTCTACCCTAAAAGGGCAGCAGAACCTTTTACAAATCCTTTACCTCGCCAGACCCCCCCAGCGTCACACACCACACCCAGCCCGCCCGCCTCCACTGCCCTCCTCAGGCGGTGCATGGGGACAAGCCCCGCCCGCGAAGGAGCCTGTAGCAGGGCTTGTCGGGAGTTGTAGTCCACCGCCACCTGCCGCTCTGCGCAGCCGTCGGGGGCAGGACTACATTTCCCAGGGGGCGCTGCGAAAGACCCTCGGCGGGGAGAAAGCAAAATGGCTGCGGCTGCCCGGGGGTGCGGTGGGGTTTGGTGTCGGGTGTGGCAGCGTGGAGCTGGAGGTTCCGCCCCCCGCGGGCAGCGCGTTGTTGCCGGTAGTGCGAGAGGCGTGGCTGTACCGGCGGGGAAGAGCGGGTATGGTGTCGGGGCGGCGCGGGAGAGGGGTCGGTGGAGGTGGCTCTCAGCCGGGGCATCCCGCTCTCCTCAGCTGCAGGTGGTTTGGGTACGAGAGCAGGATGGCAGGACTTTCTCAGTACGCATTTTATGTTACCTTCCTCCTGAACGCCCGCCAGACAGTGTTTGTCTTAGCGGTAGTGCTGTGTTCCTTTGACATGTGGTAAGAGCCAGATGCGACGCAAGCGAATGGGGAAGCGTTGACATTCATGTGTTTGGAGCATAATCAACATGCACTAGTCTGAATAAGTATTTTTTGAAGTTGTTCTGGTCCAAAGAAGCTTTCTCTTCCAGTGGAGAATTGTGAAACCTTGGCAGCGTGCCTGGTAGAGCATTTTATTTCTCCCACAACTGGAAGTTAATGGCCTTTACAAGCTTTCATGTTCTCTGGTGAGATTCAGGTTTCTCTACACAGCTGATCATCTAATGAAGTTGTGTGGAAAGGGGCAGAAGTATGCTGCGGAGTCTTTAGAGACATAAATGTAAACCTTGAGCAAGCAAGGCAAGGAGCTCCAGGTTTCTCATGAGTGGTGTTGATAGGACTCAAGGACTGATGCACAAGTCTTTTATCAGAGTGTAAGCCAACATGCTGATTAAGCGAAAAATGTAATACAATGCTGTGATGTGATGGGGATGAATCTCTAAAGAATGCAGGAAACAAATAAATTTGCCTCCAAAATTTAAAAAACAAACACCCCCCCCGACTTTCACTTTGAGGCGATTTTATGAATAGTTAAAAATGCCAAAGAAAATACTATGTTTCAGTAAAAGAAAACACATTAACTCCTTAAAACGTCTGAACCATAATCCTTTATGAAAATATTTTTCTTCCTAAGTCAGTGATCTAAGTGGCATCAGTAGTTTGGTGTTTATGGGGATGTCCTCAGCTGTTGGAGGGCAGACAGAGAAGTAAAATCTTGGCAATGTATTATGTTCACCTCTGAAGGGAACACTGTACTTGATGTATTTGTTTGATGTTTTTCAATAGCTTGCTTATCTCCTATAGCTATCTGGGTACTTGTACTGCTGAAGTAGTCTGCCATAGAAATGTGATTTCATCACTGAAATATTATTTGTGCCACTTCATTTGTACAAGGCCATATAATTACTTACAGAAACTGTCAGGCAATTCATACTGTGAAGGTGACCTTTTTCTCTTGTCCATATAAAGGTTATGGATGTGAGAACTGCAATTACTTTTCAGATGATATGGAGAAGCTTTATTCTGTGGAATATGTTCAGAGAAGAGTAGCTCTCTAGCTGAAATGATGATTTCTCTGTTACCAGATTACTAATATTTATGCTAATATGCTACTAACACTGCTCTGGAGAGCCACCTTTCCTAGCATGTGACTAGCTGACAATACATAATTTACTATGTTATTGATTTTTGGAGGTTTATCAAACTACCGAAGAAGTAATACATATTTATGATGATTTTGTGATTTTCACGAGATACTAAATTAGGGTTCATCCAGCATGCAAGTTTGCATCATTAACTCTTTAAGTTTTCTCGTGTAAGGGAAAGTTAAAAGTTTCAGACCATTATGTTTCTTTTTTGTGGCATTTTTTTCTGTATATAAGGAAGACACTTTGCTGTACAGTTCCCTCTCTATATTGTCAGTTAGTCTGTTTCTCAGTTCTCCAGTATTGCAGCACAACTTCTGCCATTGCCATAAATTAGATGTATTTACAACATCATTTACATTTTTACAATTACAATTTAATTTTTATTAAAAGAATAAATGAAAAGTTTTTATTCTTGTATTTTTAGATGTTTATGGTGTTTAATGTCCTCTTTATTTAAATTTTATTTCTCTTCTCTTTCCTTTTCAGTCTTGTTCCATGGGTACCAGTTGTTGGTCTGGAAATTCATGCACAGATCAGTTCCAACTCAAAACTCTTCTCTGGATCCCAAGTCCAGTTTGCAGCACCTCCTAACTCTGTGGTATCTTTCTTTGATGCTTCTTTACCAGGAACTTTACCAGTAAGTTATGCTTCAACTTAATTTAGAGTAGGATTGATGTCAGACAACTTCCGAGTATATTTCCAATATTTTGTTCTTTCCAAGAATTGACTATAGGACTACTTTTACATATTTTTCTATTTGCTGGTTGTTTGATAACGTAAGATTCCTGGGACTGTTTCTTTTCAGATTATTCATTCCCTAGTCATCGCTACAGATACTTGATACACACTGCAAAGGAAAAAAAACCAAGGAGTGTCACTTCAAAATACTGAATGAATTGTGGTATTTCTCTGAGGCCAGAGAAATTTGGTTAGTATGCCATGCAGGAAATTCCTTAAATATGAGAGAGACTTAAAATCCTATGAGAGAAGAACATCTTAGATTTCAAAGTGGCCATTTGATGTTACTTTCCCGTATGTTTGTTTATGTAGCTGTCATTTGCCATTTGGAATGTCTTGCTATGGAGGTACTTTGCTTCCTAAGTGGTAAGTCTGTGATTTAGGAAAGTGTCAACCATTCCTATTTCCAGAGCAAAACAATTATTAGCAAAACAAAATCTTACCTCTCTGAAACATTGTGGACTAATAATTCAGAATAGTTAGCTGACACTTAGCAATGAGAGTTCTTAGTGACAACATAGTAAATTTTTGAAGTCACAGCTGAATTATAACTGTGATGGCTATGGCAGTGCTGCTGTAGAATTTTCTGGGAATCTAACAAGTTTAATATTAGTAGTTTTAAAAGTACGAGCTTTTACTCTACAGTGAAAATAAATATTGAATAGATTTAGCTTTGCCTCATTCAACAAGCATGCAGAGACTATAATGGGGTCAAATTATTTAATGCAGAAGTGTTTCACTGAGAGTGGAGATTTGAATTCCAGTTGCAGGTATATATTAACTCCTTAATGTACTGGAAGTTTTTCATCACCATAATACAGCCTTAAATAATATTCTGGAATTGAGAATTAACTTATGGCTGGTTTTCTAAAGTCTTGATGTATGTATGAGATATGATCCTTAAAAAGAGAAATTAGCTAAGATTTTAATTCTGTGTTTGCAAAGTTTTGAAATCTAAGTGAAGGTTACGTGCTGGTAGAATTTGGGCTTCACTCTGGTCTCAGTAGCAATTTAGGGCTGAGTTTCAAATCTAACTATGTGAAAAATTTCCAGAGGGAATGGGAATCTTATGCAATTGTTTGGTTTTAGAAGAGTCTATTTAGACTTGAACATAGAAAATGAGATTCTTTCTTCTGGGGACAGGACTAGGTTAGGGATTCAATAGTCACAACATTTAAAAGGGTATAAGATTTCGGTTTCAGATCTTCTACTTAATGTTCTATTAATGCGCAAAAATCCTTGTAAATTGCTTGTCTTCAGTGAAGTAGAGAAACTGTTCTTCATGGAACAAAAATGAGTATTTATAAAGAGTTTCATTCTTATGTACATAACTGTTTATCTGGGAGTATTTTTATTTGGCCTTTTGCTCTGTTAAACCGCTTTAAAAATGAGGCTTGGTATGACCTTTGTAAGAAGAGCCCCGCACGTGTGGGCTTTGTTAGAATATATAACTGCATGTAAGAAGCAAAAAGCAGAATGGCTAGGTTAATAAGTAGTGATACTATGTTAACTTCTCCCAGCTACTTCATTTTATACAAAGAGAAAAAAGGTTTTTCTCACTGTAGCACTAGTGAAAATAGAATTGAAAGCAAATGTTACAAAATACATGTTCTAGCATGTTGGAATGTGATAGGAAATCCATTCAATAATCATAATTTTATTTTCCCCTTGTTCTTGCTGCACAGGAGTGAATGTTTGAGACCAGTGTTTGTTCTGGAATCAATCAGTTTCTCTTGTTTTCTTGAAATAACTGTATGTATTTGTACACGGCAATAGTATCTGAAATAGAATTGGATTTTGGTGGATTTTGAAAGATGGTAGTTTTTAAAAATTTCCAAGTATTTGTAAAAAAAAACCCAACCAAAAACAGTTTAACAAATGTTAAGATTATTGCCTAATAAGTCTCTTTAGGTGAATATTTGGCCTTTCTTTTTGACTCTTTTTTTGAGAAATTAAAAAAAAAAAATAGGAGCAAAATTTTAGTACAGTAGTTGTGCTGTCTATAGCAGCAAGTCACTGCTGATATGAACAGAGAACTATAGGGACAGTTTTCACTTTCATAGGGACTTAAATTTACTGTGAGGCCATGAGATGATTGCGATAGACAACCGTGCTAGAATTTGCTGACTCACAATGGGACCAGAAAGAATGATGCTAAAAGGAGCTATTGTGGTTGCTATACATTTCTGGTTCATTAATGAGTGTGGGTGTGAGCCCTTGCGCAGGAGAGAGAAAAGTAGATGAATGTATTTAGCCCTTTCTTTCCTCTTTGTATTTTCTTCCAGTGCTGTAATACAGCTTATTTTATGCTTCTGCTGCAAGTAGGCCTTAGAAGGACCATCACACTGTCAGTGTCATGGCCATTTCACTATGCTTCTATTGTAATGTGCCTCTGAGAGACAGCTACAGGCAAAAATAGCTATGCAAGTGCACTGCTGTTTGCCATGAGACAGAAAAAAATGTGGCAAAGCTTTGATTATGAAAATAGATTTTGAAGTAGTGAGACTCATCCTGTGCTGCTCTGCACACTTTTGTGGCTTGTGGTGATGGAGCCTCTCACCCATAGACCAGATAGCATCGTACTCAGGTTACTTTGGACTACAGACATTACAATTTGTGTAATGAAGTGTTCAAAGGCCTGGTTTTTATTACCTGGTAAATGGACTTGGCAATGATCTTAGCTTGCTGTCTTCAGGAGACCTGTTATAAAGGAAATTTTAGCCACATGTGGTGACACATAATGCATCGTGCATGCAGATTTATCTAAAACTCTTCTGAGGATCCATAAAGGTGGTTGAATTCCCAGTCTGATTCATCCTCTTTGAAAATTCTGTGAATCTTTATAAAGGCTATAAAGATAGTACTGGGCTCACAGAAGGAGAATCCATGATTGTCTATTCTCATGATTGAGGTTAATTATAGCTCAGCCACAGAAATAAGATGGTAGATTTATTAGCTAAAGTCTGAAACCTTCTTGTCTGTGCTTAGTCTTTGTGGCTAATCACACCAAAAGATGCACGTTTTACGTTTGTCTCCTGCATGACTGAAGTGAAAGCCTCATCCTATTGTAGGCAATCCTTTGTAGGCAAGTGTACAAAGAAATAATCTGGGATTTACATAACCAAGGTTTAAATTAATAAGATTTGAATTGAATGTCAGCCTTACAGTCTTAAGTATTTTGAAAATTCTGATACCCTCTCATGCATTTGAATTTCATTCTCTTCACAGTGTGAATAGCATCTGGTTTTTGGTTGTTTTGTTTTTTTTTTAAGATAGAATTTTTGAAACACTTGGTAATGATCAGGCTGTTTCTAATGAGGAAAAGGTAAGTAACTTCTGACCTCAGAAGAAACAGAGAAAGAGCTCTGTGGAACGCTGGTGTAGAATATCATGAGATGCATGATTTTATATTAATACATAATTTTTTGCTGTTCCACTGGACATCCTTGAGGGCTTGTCAGCTAACTCATTGCAGCTGTCCTGTACTGAGATTTTCCTACCCTCTTGTTTTAAATTTCTTTGGTTTTCTGTCTGTAAATAGTGTAGGAGGAAGCATTTTGGTCCTACTGTATGTTCTCTCGCCTGTATAATGGTAATTGAGCAACCAGATACGCCTTTTCATGGAAGACAGCAGGGCTAGAACGGCTATTGCCTCTTGTGCCTTCTGGTATTGCACGGCTGGCAACTTGAGCTTCAAACTCTAGCTTCTTCAAAGTTGATGAATGTCACTGCATCACTGCACAGCAGCAGAGAGCATGTGTATTGTGCTGTTGCCTTCACCACCTTGCAATGCTGTGCTGTTGGGATGGCTGCCCAGGAGCATGACAAGGGTAATAATATCCACCTTTGGTGTGTAGAGGGTGCATTAGAAGGTCCCTTTCTTATATGGACATATCCATCCTTGGCAGTGGCAGATACCTGGTGTTTTTCCAGATGTCTTGTGTGGTAGATTATCAGATTTCATGATTAATTTTAAATGTTATTAATATACAGAATTTACCCGATGCCTTTGCTTTTGAAGGCACTGAGAGGTTTATATGAGATTTTGCTGGATCTGTCTTGTCAGCTATACATACTGGAACAGAAACAGCATTTAAGACCAGAATTCATATTTCAAATTACAGTTTGAAACTAGATTTTTTTTTTTTTTTGATATCTTATGTCTGTTAAATCTGGTGATTGCAACAGCTGCTTTACTAACTTGTGATTTCAGTTTTGTTTTGACATTCCTGCTGACATGCGTATGAATTTACTCTGTTCTTGTACTGCTTAAATTTGCAAAAAAACCTGCTTCTTAGCATGACTTTTGATATCTACATTTTCAATTGCACACACGTTTTTAGGGAACTGGACAGTCTTCTTATCTTCATATGCATGTTGGTTTAGCTTCCATTATATACATTTTCTTCTTTTCGAGACCGTGTGATGCCTTGGTTGTTGTATCCATGAGCTCTCCTCTAAAAATAAATTAGTGGCAGTGCCCGAAGGAAAAAGTGAGTTCCTGATTATTTTAAACCATTTACTTATGTCTGGGTTCACTTTAACTGCCTGTTACTTATGTCAGTAAAACTGTAGTAATTGTATTTAGGGGTGAAAAAGGAGATACTTTCTTAGAAATCAGTGCTACCTTTCTGTTGCAGTCCTTTTTTTCCTGGTAAATATTTTGGTTTGCAACATACATTGTATCATCAGTGGTTAAGAGTTTTTGCTGCTCACACAGTCCCAGCTTGTTGGACATGCAGTAAGCCTCTAAAAAACAAATTCAACATAATTTAGACCAAAAAAAAAAAAGAAAAACCAAAACCTTACAGGAGGAAAGTAGGCTTTCAAACCATTTCTCTCTGAGAATGCCTTTGCAGTTCATAGACCCTTACATTTCTGAGTGCTTGATGGATTAAA